TTTAAATAACACTTTGAATTTTTTAAAAATATTTTTGAAATATTAAACCATTGCATGAACATTTTATTGCATATTTTGATTAAAGTTTAATTGAGATTTATCGTGAATTCAAAATGTAACAATAAATGTTTTAAGCTTTAAAATTGTTTATACATGATTGACACTTTAAGGAAAAAAAAAATTTTTGAAATAAATCTGGTGTATTTATTTTGAGTGTTACAATATGTACCGGTATTTATTTTAGATAGATCTAATTTTTTTTACCTTTTTTTTTTTTTGCTTAAATAAATTTGAATAATTGAATATTAACCTTCAATATTTATTGCGAAAGGGATTAAAATGCTATTTTAATTGGTGTATTTATTTTGAGTGTTACAATATGTACCGGTATTTATTTTAGATAGATCTAATTTTTTTTACCTTTTTTTTTTTTGCTTAAATAAATTTGAATAATTGAATATTAACCTTCAATATGTATTGCGAAAGGGATTAAAATGCTATTTTAACAATAATTATAATGTTATAAATGTAAGGATTTAGGGTAATGTAATATTAACAAATTACAATTGGTTTTGATCAACAAAGAAACTTACTATTTATTCATTTGTTAAAATATTTTAAATTTGTTTTGCAAGTGAAAATTATTTGTTGACCTAATTCAGTTTTACTGCCGCAATAGTAAATAATAATGAGATATGTAACAGGATAATTTCTGCTTTTGTTTTTTTGTTGTATTTGTGGGGGAAGGCATTCAGTCGCAATGTACAGTTCATTGTCTTGTGTTGTTATTCAAGCTGCTACATAGCCTGTTATTAATATTTTATTCACATGGTTTAAACATAGTCTCTACTATATTATCCAAGCATAATGTACATTTTTATTGTAATACTTTATCAACAAATGTGGTAAGGGACAACCTGTAAGTGACATCATGTTCTTTTGTTTGATTTTGGACCCCCTACCCCCACTCTTCCCTGATCATAAATTTGTCACAAAAACTGAGACACCCTTGTCTAACATCTCAAATATTTGCCCCCCCAAGATGCATGTTGTCATTTATTTGATTTGATATTTATATAGCGCTGGTATAGGCCTACATGCTACTTTAGCGTGCTCACTGAGCTCTGGTTTACTTAAATCTATTTAAACAGAAAATTTTTAAAATGTTTCTTATATGGTTTTTTTTATCATTTTCAATTCCCCTCAAAGATTGAGACAAACTCTTCCATAATTTTGGTGCTATCGCTTCAAAGGAGCGCACTCTTTTTCTGTGTTCATCCCCACTGGGAATTTTCAGAAATTACTGAATGGCCACTTACTCTGTGTAAACATAAGCTTTTTGTTAGTACACCATTCTTAAATCAGAAGCATGCATATAGTATGGCCCTGACGTAACTGTATGAATTTCCTTGTCATGGTATTCAAGAACACAGATGCAGCTATCAATTTCCTTGTCATGGGATTCAAGAACACAGATGCAGCTATCAATTTCCTTGTCATGGGATTCAAGAACACAGATGCAGCTATCAATTTCCTTGTCATGGGATTCAAGAACACAGATGCAGCTATCAATTTCCTTGTCATGGGATTCAAGAACACAGATGCAGCTATCAATTTCCTTGTCATGGGATTCAAGAACACAGATGCAGCTATCAAATTTTTTGTTTAATAATTACATAATTTATAAAAGGGACATCTTTGTCACAATACAACCATCACAAAAGCATGTTCATCCCGATCAACTTGAGGTCTTACTTCTATCAACTATCATACAGGCCTCTGGGTGGTTTTAAAAGATCTTTCCCCTCTCCCTCCCAAGGTCACAAACTGTCACACTCTCTTATACCCCCTCCCACCTTGCCCTCCACAGCATGACATATTCTACGTTTGGCCCTTATGATTCAATCATCCCAAGACCTTGGTGAACATGGGAGCTGAAAAAAATAAATAATGATAGATATTTAGATTAAGGTTGTTTTTTTTCTGAAATACATTAAAATTTTAACAGTGTAATTTAAGCAGATCAAGGCCATGAAAAATTGTATATGCTTATTATTAAAACAATTTAATAAATTAAGATTTTAACAATGTATGATGGCAACAAAATATTTTAATAATAGTCACTACATAATACTTAAATTATAGGCTACTGGTAGGCTTTAAAAAAATTGTTGCCTTAAAGGCTTAATTAACTTTTGGCTAATATTGCTAAAGTATTAATTACTTAGTTTAAATCTAAATAATCTTAATCTTAGTTAAAGTTAGTTATTACTTTGATTATTATTAGTATTAGTTATAGTTAAGTTAGTAATATAATATATTATTAATATTACTCAATTTCACTCATTCTAAGTTAAAGTTTAAATTCTAATACCGGTACTAGAATAAATTTGAGTGATAAAAGTATTCAAAAAGCATTTGATCATGCTCATACTCATAAATATCCTTCAACATATTTTGTTTCCGTCACTTTTGATTTTGCCTGCAAAAATGAAGATATTTAATATTACTTATATTAGATTTTGTTATTATTAATTAGTATTAGCCTATGGCCTATCATTAGTTATTAAAGTTAGTTCAGCCGTTAGTTCTTTCTCTTAATTTCACTTTCTGTACCTAGTGGCCTAGTGTTATCCTAGCAACGTCAAAAGGAATGTCCCTAAATCTGCTGGTACCACGGTACTCACTATTGCCCATTTCATTGCTTGATTACTTGAACTTACTAAGTTGAACTCGTCTCGGAGATCTACTAGTAGCTAGACATTTCCTCATGCATCAACAACATTTGTTTCAGCAGGCCTTTTTTTATTTTTGGCGATTCTTTCATTATAATTCTTTTATTATAATTTTTTAATTCAATCATATTATAAATTCGACGAATATAACAGTTGTTCACCTGTCCTAAAATAAAACCGGAATAATAGTGTGGTACGGTAATTGTTTTTTTTTGTTTTTTTTTTTTGAATTCCCGTTTCTGAGAATAGCCTACATGAACAAATAGTAACAAGGTCAAGTTGGCCTACATAATATAAATTTGCAAATCTAACCAATGTAATCGATTCTAAATGTTTGAACACAAACGTTAGGCTACTTGAGACTGCCTTGTTATCGACAAGATAATTAATGGTCGCTGGGTATCAAAATCACACATTGGGATTAGAATAAATAATAATTTTAAAAGGAAGTGAAGGCACAGACTAGGCCTAGTAGTGACAAAAATTATGTGCTGATATCAAGCAATAGTGCAATGGCAATTGTAATAAATTTAACATAATATATTTACCTTCTACTGGTTAGGCTAGCTGATAAGCGACATTTTCAAGCTCAAGTTCTTTTTTTTTTTTTAAAGGTTTCAACGTTAAATTTTTTTTTTTTTATCGGACGTTACCCCCAGGGGAAAAATGTAGGTTATTTTTAATGTGTCTTTATCATTAGTTTCTTGTTGTTGGGCAAAATGTTTATGGGTCAGTGAATCAGCGAACGGTGACGACCACTAGACCGTTTATAGCGCTGCAGAGCCGCTTCAAGTGTAACCTTGATCTAGTGAACTTGGCCTAGCCTATAGCTTTAAGTCTGAAGGTTTCCCCATAATCATAAACTGCGACTTAATTTTACTCTGTGAAACGAATAAAGTTCCCCTTTTTCCATGAGCAGGGCGTATACTGGATTCGACCTCACCCTGAAACAACATAAGGATTTTGTGGAAACAGACATTTGTTCACGAAAAAAAAACAACAACGTTGTGGCAAAAAAGTTCTTCATCGAAAACCGTAAAATTCTATATTGTTGTCACTGTCACATCAGTTATCAAACAAGCCGCCATTGCGAAATGTTGACGTTTATTTACCAACCAGTAAAGTGGAACAGTCCATTCATTACTTGTATTCGCGTATTTTGATTGTAAACAATTGTATCATTACTTCTAGTTATCTACATACCTTATTGAGTAGTGAGTAGGCCTACTCTGGTAGACCACAACGTCATTGTTATCCTTACTATTTATATTCTAATTTGTATATTTCAATAGTAGACACAATGCCATCGTAACCAGTTAACATTTATGTATATTTTTTGTAGTGGTCAGTGCATCATTACTGGTTACATACCTTGTAAATCATTGTTTTATACATATATTATATAATATATGTAGTGAAATTATAAAGTAATAATTTAGTTACTAGTTTCCATTTTGTTAGCTTATGCAGTGAAAAATTTCTTTATTGTTATATTTATATTATTTGCCATTTTATATATTCATGTGGTGGCCAGTATAATCATTACTATTTAGATATCTAGTTGTATTTTTTTGTGGTGGACCAAAGCGTCATAATTTATGTAAGGTGAATTGGACAGGTAAGTTTGTGCGAGGATTGTGTGACAGGTGATTTTGTGTGAAGGGTATGGGACGGGTAAGTTTATGTGAGTTGTGTTTGGCAAGTAAGTTGGGGGGGGGGGGTGGGGTGGGGGGGGGTGGG